GTCTGGAGTCCATGCTGGGTTTGTAAAAGCTACCTGCCATGTCATTCCTTTCAACCTGATGGCCCACGAGCCGTGACCCCAGGGAGGAGAAGCCGCTCACAGGGTCTTGATATGTGGCTTAAAAAAGGTAAGACAGAGTGTTCTCTAACTCTAGCAAATACGTATGTCTGAGGAAGAGCTCACTGCTGTCTAGTCACTTCTGACTCGGGGTGACCCTCTGCGGGCTTGGCCTGTCCTGTCCTTCATTCCATGAGTGGGTTTGAACTGCTGACCTTCTGTTAACAGTGTGGCGTGAAATTTACGACTCCATCACTAGAATAACTGTTCTTCCTGTTGTCTTAGGACCTTGGGATAAACTCAATCACGTACTCCCATTTATGTGATAGCTCCTGTCGCGGCTGGATGCATATGTCCAGATAACCCGCCTTTCTTCCCTCTCACGGTCTTCTGGCCAGTTACAAGTTTTGCAACCTGCTCGCACGATGTAACCACCTTTCTGGAGTTCTTGGGGAGAGGGCCGTCGTCATCCTGTGAATCTGGAGGGATCTCCGATTCAGATCGTCTTTGGATTTTCAATGGATCTCATTTGACTTTTGCAGAGTGCGGGTTTTCACTCCAGGACAAAGCTTTCCTCTTTGTCGCTGACCCCTCGACGTCACCACCAGTCCTTGAAAAGGGGCTCCTGCTTGGAAAGGTGGAGGGTCAGAGAAAGAGGGGAGACCATCAGTCAGGTAGAATGGCGCAGCAGCTGAGGCAGTGGGCTTGGGGTATCAGATGGTGGCACAGGACAGGGCAAGATCAATCAGTTCGTTCATGGGTCGCTGTGACTCACAGCGACAACCACCAAGACCACCCAGAAGTAGGTCTTTCCCCAGTGACTGGGCCCCCAGCAACATGCCCAAATCACAGGAGACGAAGTCTCAGCATGCTTACTGCTACGGAGACTTCCGTGCTGCTTCTAAGATGCATCTGTTTGTTCTTTTGGCAATCCCTGGTATCTTCAATATTCTCTGCCAGCACCCCACTCTAAAGGCACCTGTCCAACTTCCCAAGTCGATGAAGCTACCGAGAAGACCAGGAGCTCTGTCCTCAAAGCCCGTTTGGCTTCGCAGCACTTTAAAGAGGCTCCTTGAGGCAAATCTGCTCACAGCGAGGCATCATTTGATCACTTCATTGTTGATTCCAAGAGCTCTGATTGTGGATCCAGGGAAAAGGAAGTCCTCCACAACGGTAATCTTTGCTTTGTTCATCCTGATGCTGGGTGTTGGTTCACTCGGGAAGATTTTTAACCCTTCTCTTCCCTACAAGGGGGCACCTGCTGAATCCACTATTTGCCTCAATAGAGTAAATCTCCTCCTGTAACTCACAGTCTCAGGGTCGGCTCTGAGTCTGTTCTGACTTGATGGCAATGAGTTCAAGAGCGAGCGTCTTTCTCGTATTCTCTGAATTAGCTAAGTTCTCCAAGCTTCATTCCATTCACCTCTTTTCTATAGGTTTGTCTGGTTTGTTTACATTTTCCTGTGGTGATGTTGTCCAGATTCATGACTTGGAACGCTATGTAACTGAACCCTAGCGTCTCAGCTCCAATCACCATGTCATCTCAGTGCCTTAAACAAGACACATCCAAACCTGGGCTCCCCTCTACTCCTCCCCACTCGTCCACACACACGAGCTGCTGTTGGCCGCCTCCCTCTTACCGCATGGGGCCAACTCAAGGGCTGACTTAGGCCAAGAAGCTCTCCTTCTCGGGCCTGACAGCGAGTCCATGAGCAGACTGACTTGGCTCTGCCTCAGTTTATGTACAGAAGGTGAACACCTCTGGTTCCCTCCCTGTGTGATTAACTGCCTCTGAAAATCCACTGGAGAGTCAGCTATGGGTCGGGTCCGACTCGAGAGTACACAACAGCAAAGACTTAATAGAGAAATACAGCCCCACCGCAAATGACAGTAAAGACCCACACAACTGCCAAGCCAGCCTGTGTCTCTCAGGCAACAAAGTATCTTCCTTTCAGGCTGAAAGAACTTTCAGATGCATCTTGGGGTCAAGGCACAGAAATATGGGCAAGTGTAGCCAAGACTGGAGGGTTGGAATGGTTTCCCCAAACAAGGATTCCTCAGCCTGGAACAAGTAACTAAATAGAAATCTTGTGGGATGTGGAAGAAATTATGACCTTAGAGATGGAAAGGGTTTCAATAAAATAAGCTCAAACTGCCTTGAGTTTTGACAGAATTATTAATACGAAGGTTGGAGAATGGCTGTGAATAAAGTAATAATACCTACTTTGAGTTACAATTGGGCCACTTGGCAAAGAGAAAAGGGGCAATGATGGCAGTGCTAGAGCCAGAAGTGCCGTCCTGGGCCGTGGTCTCCAGCAGGCGCCAGGTCCAGACTTCTGGAGAACTCTGGGGAGGAGAGGGGCAGTGCCGACTGGCCCCTGAGGAGAGCCGTCCACTCTTGGAGAGTGCTGTCAGGTCGCTGGGGAGAGCAGCCTGATGTGTATGAGGAATTTTATCTCAGCCACTTTCCTCCATCTCCCTCTCCAGTGCACCTGTAATAACACCTCCTAAGCCCTTCTCTTTGTTACTCACAAGTTTGTTCTCTCTAGGTTTGCGCCCTTTGCTATAGGTAACCTGAACACTGAGTCCTGTTCCAGAACCTGAACCCTGAGCCTGGTTCCAGAGACAAAAGGGAAATATAACTGCCAGCTAAGAAAGTGAGGGTAGACGGAGCCTCAAAGTTCAGCCAGCCACCCACTCCCAGTGGATTTACCCAGGCAAACACCTTGCAGTCCAGACAGCAGAAAACATCATGAAAATATCTTCTAACTGAACAAGAAGGCATGCAGCTTCAAGTCAAGACCACCAGTAAAGTGTTAAAGTGGGCTCCCCCTCCCCTTCATCTCAATGCCCCTGTTCAGCATGAAGCCGCCAGAGAGTCTGTGCCCCTATTCCCAAGTGGGAAACCCACAAATGAAAAAAAAAAAACAATTTCTTTGTAAAAAAAAATTAATCACCATTAGACTATGTCTACTATTACCCTGTCTTTTCTGGTTCCCACTGGATCTTTCTCATTTCCTTCACCCACTCCCTTCACCCACCAAATCGTACAACCCTATGATTTCATCCCTGCCCATCCTCACCCTTCTGCTCCCACCCGTTACCCCCCTTGGATCCTCATTCATGTTTTTTACAATTAAAAAAAAGAAAAATATATATATTATTTCCAATACCTATGGGAGCTGCCCCTGATTAAAACAAGCTTGGAAGCAGGAGTGGCATCTACTTCCGTAGTAGCTTGCCTCTGGAAACCCTATGAACCTGAAGAGAGGATGAAAGACACCCAGGCGTTGAGGACTCTCCTTTGCTATGAGTCGCCTGCGACTCGACGGCACTTAACACCACCACCACCACCACCACCATGGAAGCTGCACTAAAAAATGAAATCAAATGAAGTATTGCACTGGGTAAATCTGTTGTTAAAGTGCTAAAGAGCAAACTGTCAGTTCAAAGACTCAGGTGCACCTGCCCCATGCCCTAGGGTTTTCAACTGTTTTCTGCACGTGAAAGCTAGACGATGAATAAAGAGGACTGAAGAACTGATGCCTTTGAGCCAAAGAATACCGAACATGGATGGCCAACAGAACAAACAGTCCCTGGAAAAGGACTTACTCATCAGGCTTGAAAGAAGGAGCGGGCGACTCACATTTCCTGACACACAAGAGCCCATTGCAGAAGTCAACATGTCATTCTACCTGGTTGAGGGCCTTCCTCTCCTCCGCCGACCCTCCACCCTTCCCAGCATCATGTCCCTCAAGGAATAGCCCCTCCTAGCAATATGCCCAAAGTATGTGAGGCGAAGTCTCATCATTCCTGCCTCCAGCGAGCACTCAGGCTGCACCCTCTCCAAGACATGTCTGTTCATTCTCTTGGCCGTCCATGGGATGTTCAGTGCTCTGCTCCCAACACCACAGCTCCAAGGCATCAATTCTTTTTCTGTCATCCTTATTCATTGTCCAGCTCTTAGATGCATAGCAAGTGAACATATTTATGCTCAAAAAGGAGATTACCAAGAAGGTAATACAAACTCAACATATTTAAGTTCAACAAAGCAAGTATCAGGAAGAAGATAGGACTTCAGCTGGTTGTCGGAGGTCAGAGACTTGAGAGGAGCTGGTTTGTGCCTTCTCAACAGAAGGGTGATGCAGAAGCCATCAAAGCAGAACATCTGCTGTGGAGACCACGAGGGGCAGAGTGTGCCCAGCAGACCTCACTGAGATGCCAAGGGCCTTTCTCTGCCACACAAGCCTAGCCAGGAAAGAGTTGAGGAAAGGAAGCATTTTTAGCCAGAAAACAGGATGATGGGTAAGATTTTCAAGTAGGTGTGTGTCCTTAGGCTCTCTGTGGCTCAAGATGACCAGGTTAGATGCAGCAGGGAAGCAGGACGCCACAGCATAGAACCACTCACCCAGAATTCCTTATCTGCAAAATGGGGTGTGTTCCAGAGACCCGTGCAGGGGTTGAGGGGCGGGTGCCTCGGTCATTCCAGGATAATCTCCCAGGGAGAGTGGACAGCTCAGTCCTGGAGGGTGGCCTGGACTGAGGGTGTGGCAGGCTCTTACTCCCTCTGACCACAGGGAGTGGCCCAAGGCAGGGTCTAGCCTGACAGCACCCCGCAGTTCCTGGGCTCCCTGCCAGGTGCTGGCCACATCCAGGCGCCACCATGGAAGAGCCCAGGGGGGACTTCTGTGGAGCGGGCGTGGTTCTGAGGAATCAGCCTGCTTGCTCACTGAGGAAGTCACGGTCACGGCTACTTGCCCTGAGGTGACCGTTCATTCACAAAGAAACCTTAAGGATCCTGTTTCCGATCCCCGGTGGGAGTTCCACGAGACCACCAGGCATGGCCCCAGAGGCCCCTATACACCGGCTCTCTCTCGTGGTCCCTTTGCCTTGCTCCTCAGCAGGCACCCTGAGTCCCCATCCGCCTGCCCGCTGCCCCTCACCTGTAGAAGGCTGTGTTGACCCTCTTCTCACCGGGGAAGCCCAGCATCCCGCAGACCACACGGCTGTTGTGGACGCTCCAGCCTCTGTCGCACACTTGTGACCAGCCCTCGGGAAGGCGGACCTCCACCAGCCCCTCCATCACGGGCAGGGGTCTTCTGCCCCTTCCCACCGCGGGTCGAAGTCGCACCTCCTCCACCTGCAGCTGCTGCTCCACCTGGAGGGGACACAGCCAGGGCCTTGGGTTCACCCCCATTTCCTGCACTCTGGCCATCCTGGGAGGGGACCCAGCTGCTTCAGCTGGGGGAAGGAGGAGAGGGCGAGCAGCGCCTGCTCCCGGGGAACCCACCCTCGGAGCCTGGAGAGCACAGAAGCCCTGAGAGGGGAGGCCATGCCCAGCTGAGGGAGCTCGGCAGGCTGGGAAACTCCCGGCCCGGCCAGGTCTCCCCCACTGCAGGAGCACAGTGGGGGCACCTCGTAGAGGAAGTGGCCTTTATGGTAGGAGAAGAGAAACCAGTGAGGTGTCCAGGCCAGCGGAGGGGACAGGGTGTCCAGGGGCCGGGACAAGGGTGGAGAGGCACTGGCCGAGCTGAACTTGGAAGTTCATGCTGAACTCGGACCTCACTGTACTTGCGTCAGCTGACCCTCTCTGCCCTTCAAGCCTCCTGCCAGCCTGCATTGTTCCTCTGGGCACGTGGGGCTGGTGCGGGAGCATGCACGCGTGCGTGTGCGCCCATGCATGGCTGTGCACACAGACCTCAATGACGTTGGAGTCTGAGAAGCCAGGCAGGCGCTGGTCCTTGCAGATGACCCCCGCGTCCTCGTCGTGGGTACAGTCGCTGTTCCCCCAGCCCCGGGAGGTGCACTCAGTCACACTCTGCTCTGTCCCACGGCAGCTCAGGTTGTCCAGCCAGATGCGACCTGGGGTGGGGGGCACAAGGACAGAGGGCTGGAGACAGGATGGGGAGCGGTGGGACTGGCGGGAGGGCTGAGCACTGCGGCTTCACGTGCGGGGAGCTCATTTTCTGGATGATGACGGTGGGGAGGGACAGGTCTCCAGGAGGGAGACAGGAGAAAGGGCGTAGGATCGGTGGTGGGAGCCCGAGGAGTTGGTCCGGGGTGTTAATGAAAGCAGGACGCAACTCTGCCATTTTGACCGGTTCCTTAGCTTCAATTTAACTCAACTCCTCTGACAGCCCCAGTGTCCGGCTCCCTGTGGGCCTCTGCCGTAAATGAGGAGAGGCCGCTGGGGGGCTCGAACAGCCACAGAGGGGTGGCTAGGAGTGGAACTCCCTATTGACAAGGGCCCCAGAGCTTCTGGTCAGTGCACATCCCTTCAGCAGTGGTCATAATGAACCCTGTGTGTGCAGCGGACACTTTACCAGGCTTTGTACTTATATGATCATCTCGAGACAGTGCTGCTGAGAAAACATTATCACTGTTTTTAAAATTGGTTTGCATTACAGACACATGAGGAAATGCTCAACATCACTGGCAAGAAGAGCGATGCAAATCAAAACCACGATCAGATGCCATCTCACCCAGAGGCAGTGGCACAGTTTTACAGAACAGCAAGTAATAAATGTTGGTGAGGATGTGGAGAGACAGGAACTCTCATACACTGTTGGGAGGACTGTAAAATGGTGCAACCACTTGGGAAGGCAGTTTGGTGTGTCCTCAAAAAGCTGAACAGAGAAATTCCATATGACCCAGCTATTCCACTGCTTGGAATCTACCCTCAGAAAATGAGAAATGAGACACAAACGGAGATTTGCACCAATGTTAATAGCAGCATCATTCACCATCACAAGAACGTGGAAAGAGCCCAAATGACCAAACACAATCAAATGGAGTGAGAAATTATGATACATCCACATGATGGAATACTATGTACAGTGTAGAAACAATGATTAAAAAATTACTACAAACTTGGGAGGGACTGGAGAGCATTATGCTAACTGAGCTAACTCAGTAGCATAAAAACAAATACTGGGGGAGCTCTGGTGGCCTAGTGGCAAGAAGCTGCACTGCAATCCCAGAGGCGCATGGTTCGAATCTACCAGATGCTCTGCCGGGAAAGGAGGGACAATCTCCTCCTGTACCAGTCAGATCTGATTTGACGGTACACAGACACACAAAATAATAATAAAATTAAAAAAAGACAAATACTGTATAAGACCATTATTGTTGAAATACAAAGATAGTAAAACAGGTATGCGGATCCAATGGGGGGAGGGTAGAAACAGAGGGGTGAGGCGAGCTTGGGATAATCACAGGGTCGCACAATTTGATGGTTAGAGTGAGAGGTGGGTAAAGGAAATGGGAAAGGTCCAGTGTGAAAAACAATGTATACGAAGTTTGTAAGCAAACCAGCATAAAATGGTTGTTTTGTACCATCGAGTTGTTTGTGACTCATAGTGACCCTGAAACTTGCTCTACCCTAAGCCAACCTTATTGTCTCTGAAACAGCTACCCCCATTACCCCACTGACTGAATCAATCCATCTCATTGAGGGTCTTCCTCTCCTGCACTGTCCCTCCACCCTCCCAAGCATGACGTCCCTCTCCAAAGACTGGTCCCTCCTAGCAACATGTCCAATGTCTGTCAGACGAAGCTTCAGAATCCTTGCCTCCAAGGAGCAGCCTGGTTTCGCCCTCTCTAGGTCGAACCTGTTTGTCCTCCTAGCAGTCCATGGTATATTCAATCAAAGGCATCAATTTTCCTTCTATCCTTCCTAGTCACTGTCCAGCTTTCTGATGTAAGAAATTGCAAAGACCTGGATCATGCTGTCCTGCTCTCTCAGCCTGAACCCCACTGAGTACCACCAACGTCTTGGCAGAGTTGAGTACCACCTCAAGGCCTTCTGTCCTGGCCAATGTTCAGGGATCGCTCAGGCATTCCATGACACTCACTCTGTGTGCAGCTTAAAGCTGCCTCTCCCAGACCCTCACACTCATCAAACATCCCTGTCTGCTTCTTCCCCATCAAGTCTGATTCATCCCTCAGGCATTTCATGGTTCTTACTCCCTGGGTCTCCTTAAACCTGCCTCTCCCAGACCCTTATAACCACCAAACATCCTTGTCTGCCTCTTCCCATTGGGTCTGATTCAGTCCTTTGATGCCGTCTAGAAAAATTCCTCAGTCACATGGCTGTCTTTACTATATTTAAAGACAACTGTAATGTAATTTCTAAGGCTTTTTCTTTGCAGAGCAAACATATCCAGTTTCTCTAGCTATTCCTCCTTAAAATTTGGCATCTGAATATTTGACATCTGGTTAGCTTTTCTCTGAAAGCATTTCCATTTTTCTAGAGGCTTTGGAGAAGAGCACTCAACAGCCACCAGGGTGAACAAGTCTGTCCGGGAGGGTGGGCAGTCAGAGTGCCCCTCAGAGACAAGGATGGGGCTGTCAGGAGGGGTCAGTCCTCGGAAATAGACACTGCACCGGGAAAGGTGGGGAGTCAGAGAGAGAGGAAGACCCTCACAGAGACGGCCTGGCACAGCGACTGTTACAGCGCGCTCAACGGTGAGGATGGCGTGGGGTAGGACAGGGTCCAGACATGCTGTTCATAGGATCACTGTGAGTCATGGGTGACTTGATGGCACTTGACAACAGCAACAACACGACGACAGTGAACCTTAAAAATATGTTATGTATATATAAAAAATGTTACGTATAACTCGGCATTTGTTCCCCAAGTAACACAGACAACGAGAAGTGACAGACAAACTATAGGTGGTACCAACTTCTCTCCATCAATCCTACTGTGTCCCCATACAGTTCAGTCACTCTCGGGCCTGTTGGAATTGCTCTTGAACCCCTCTCCCCCCATGTGCAGGTTTGTTTTAGGTATTACACTCTGTTTTATTCAGTTCTGATATGTGCTCTCTGTCCCTTGGAAAAGGACATCATGCTGGAAAAGGAAGAGGAAGCCCTTACGAGGCGGACGGACACGGGGACTGTAACAGTGGGTTCAAGTACTTAGAGACAGGGGAGAGACAGGGTGGGCAATGCTCAGATCTGTGGTTCTAGGGTCACTGTGAGTAGGAGCTGACTCCACCGCACCCAATCACCACCACCACCACCACCACCGCCACCACCACACATCTGTCTCAGCTCTGACCTGGAACTCGTTTACTGCTGGCTGCAGTATCTGTGATCCCTCTGGCTTAGCGACACTCAGGCACCATCTATGAGTTCTTGAAGGCCTCCTCCTCCTCCTAGAAGGGAGCTCAGGTGGCCTAGTGATGGGAGTTGCACTGCCAACCCGAAGGCCCAAGCTTCAAACCCACCAGTCCCACTGCTAGAGAAAGATGGGAATCTCCCGTGCAATTACAGCCTCTGGAAACCCACTGGAGGGTCAGCTGTGAGTGCTCCCACTGGGTGGCACTCGACAGCAGCCTCCTGTAGACCAGGCTGGACTCGAGTCGTAACCATTTCTGTCCTTGGGTCACCTGAGACTCAGAATATAACAACAGATTAGACTAAAGTCACACAGTTCAGGGGAGTGACCTGGCTGCGGGGATCACCACGAGTGGACACTGGCTATGCTGTAGCCCTGTAGCTGAGACATTCCTGCTGTGCTGTCACCTGAACTTAGGTGATCAGACTACCTAGGTTGGCTCACCTGTCCCAGCGCCGTACTTGGCGCTGTGGGTCCAGCCTGTGGCCTCGGTGAAGCCCAGTTCCCGGCACAGGATGTGGGCTGCCTGGAGCGTGAAGTCGTCGTCGCAGATGGTGCCCCACTCGCCGGCTCGCTGGATCTCCACGCGGCCCTCATAGTGCTTCCTGGGAAAGCCAGCCAACCGGAACCGCAGGCCCTGGCTCCCGTCCTTCTTCTCAGGGCTCGGGGGTGGGGACGGAGACCCCAGGCACAAGCTCCACAGCAGGCCCAGCAGTAAGCCCCCGGGGCTGCGTCCCCAGACACCGACAGGCTGCATGGCAGGGAAGGCCTGATGCCCGGGCCAGAGGGCATGTGAAAGAGATTGAGAGCGAGTGAGGCCCAGGGAGTGAGTGGCGTCAACAGAGAACCATCAGGGAGAAAGGGAGCATCAGAGGAGAGTGAAGACACAAGTCAAAGAGGCAAACTCCCACATAAGAAAAGAGAGGAGGGGCGGCAGCCGAGGACTGCTCCTTCATTCTACAGACAGCAAAAGCCTGGCAATCAGCTGTTGTCCCTGTCACATCCAATACCCCACGCTCCAGTCTGACAGATACAGATGTCCATACACAGTGATTAGACCCTGAGATGCAGAGTCCTGACAGCAGAGAGATGAAGGGCCCCGCAGACCCAGCAAGAGGCAGCCAGAGAGGGAGACTTGGCCAGACAGGCTGTCAGAACAAGGCCAGGTGTGGGAGCGAGGGGAGACTCAGAGACCACAGAGGGGAGAGGCCAGTGAGCATGGCAGGAGGTGACAGGAGAGGGCCAGACACAGAGGACCAGGGGGTGGGTGGGAGCGAAAGGCTGCAGGTGAGGGGGGCAGGTCTAGTGGAGGCTGGAGCAGGATGGGGGGTCCTAATGGCCCCAGGCTGCCATGGGAGAGATGGACCAATAGCTGGACTGACTTGTGCAGAGACCCTTGGACCTCCTAAAGCTGGGACCCCAGAGTTCAGGACTTCAGGAGGGAGGGTGGTCAGGAGACCACCAGAAAGACCACAGCACGTCCTTCCCAGCCCAAGCTCTCAGATGCAGGGAGGATCAAGAGACCCTGGAACGCTGGCGTGTTGAGGCTCCTGCTAACATGGCCCTTCTGTCACCGAGTACCCTGAGGCCAGTGTGCGGAGCATAGAAGCCCATGGGTCTGACAAGACTGACCCTGGAACAAGCCGTCCCCGAACCCAGACCAAAAACCCCAACAAGCTATCTTTGTTCCCAGGGTACTTGGGCTCAGGGCGCGGGGCCCAGGGCCTTCCCAGCGGCGCTGTCTGGGACGCCCTGCACACTCGGCCACCCTGTCTTCTTCCTCACGTCTTCTGACAAGCCCTCAGCCTTGCGGCTTTCCTTGACCTCGCCCTTTCCCGCCTCCTTCCTCTCTATTCTAATTCCCTTCCTCCCTGAGAAGCGGGACCCCCTACCTTTGCGGAGCGGCCCTGAGTTGCCCGGGCGCAAGGTCCGGCGGAGACCAGTGCTAGGATTTAAAAAAAAAAGTGCCTGGGCAGGGGCGCCCAGCGCCCCTCCTCGCCCCTCGGGCCCTCCCACACCCCGCCTCCTCGGGATCCTCCGGCCAGTCTCGTCGTCCCCCCTCCCTCTGCCCCACGCTCAATGGCGCTTTCTTCTCCTGCAGGCTGGAGGCCGGGCAGCTGCGGTCCCGGCGCTGGACACGCCGGAGGCCCGGGCCGCCTACAGCCGGGGCGCCCCGTGGCGGCGGGAGGGCGCAACTCGGGGTTCCAGGAAGCCGGCCAGCACCCCCGGCCAGTCCTCTCCTGCGCCAGCAGGCCATGGGGTAAACAGTCCGGCCCCCGGAGGCCAGGGGGCGGGCCCGGTCGGCAGACAGAGGCCCCACGGGCCCATGCGTTGCTCCAGCGCCCCAGGCGGCGCGCAGCCACTTTCGGGGTGATGTCATGGCCCGCTCTGAAGTCACGCCGGGCGTATGAGGTCCCTTCCGCCCCCCGCCCCAGGCCGGAGTCAAGTACTCCCCGCTGAGTGCGCGCCGCACGCGCACAGGTTGGGTCCTGGGGTAGGAGGCTGCTGTGCCAACGTGGGACCCCGTTTCCTGCCCCGCTGCCCGTCCCCCAGGGCTAGAGGCAGGGACCCGGCCAGTGTCCCCGCCTCCAGCCCGCCCGCAGCGCCGCCCACCCTTCAGGCCAGGAAGCGCAGAAGGGACGCTGGGGGCCATGGACGGGGCTGTAGACGGGGCGGAGATGGAGGGGCCGCTCTTCCTGCAGAGCCAGCGCTTCGGGACCAAGGTAGGGCCCCCCTCCCGGGCTCCGAGCCCCTGCGACGGGGCTGCCTCGGGGCCTGGGCGGCGGGAGGCGGCCGTGTGGCTCGGGAGGGAGAGCAATGGGCGGTTTGACGGAGTTTCTTTTGCACATCCCCGGGAAGCAGCGGGGACCTCGGCATGCGCCCCGGGTGTTTCAGGGGGCGGGAGCGGCGTCCTGGCGGCGGGTCGGGGAAGCGCGCGTGTCCTGCCTTGTCCTCACGTACCCCCACGCCGCGCTGTCCGCAGCGGTGGAGGAAGACCTGGGCCGCGCTGCACCCCGCCAGCGCGCACGGCGTGGCGCGCCTCGAGTTCTTCGAGCACAAGGGTGCGGGCGGCGGCCGCGGAGGCTCGCGGCGCCTGGACTGCAAGGTGATCCGCCTGGCCGAGTGCGTGAGCGTGGCCCCGGTGGTCGTGGAGCACCTGCCCGAGCCCGGGGCCGCCGCCTTCCGCCTGGACACGGCGCAGCGCTCCTACCTGCTGGCCGCCGATGCGCAGTCCAGCGCCGCCTGGGTGCAGGCGCTCTGCCGAAATGCCTTTCCGGTGATGGGTCGGCGAGGGGTGAGCGGGGCAGGGGGGGCACTGCCCGATCACCACCCTGGGATCCACGCTGTGCCGGCCTCTTCACGCGCTCTCTTTATGACAGAAAGGCAGCTGGACCCTCGCACCGGCTGAGGACCCACCCAAACTCTCTGCTCTGGAGATGCTGGAGAACTCGCTGTATAGCCCTGCCTGGGAGGGTAGGGCCCTCCAAGGCCTAGAAGGGCGCACCCCAAATCCGGCTGGGAGGGAGGGCCCCCTGGGGAGGTCAGGCCCTCCCTAAGGTCGTGTGGGGTAGGGAGGGCTTGGAGGGCTCCTGGACCTGTGGGGAGGACACAAGCTTCCAGGCGGGTGCCTGGACAGCACCTGGACAGCACCTGGACAGCGTCCGGCCCCTCCGCCCGCTCACACCACGCCCATTGCAGGAGCCCAATTTTGGGTCACAGTGCAGCGGACAGAGGCCTCTGAGCGGTGCTCGCTGCACGGCTCGTACGTGCTGAGAGCAGAGGCCGAGGGCCTGACGTTGCTGACCGCGGGGACGCAGGGCCAGGGCCTGGAGCCCCTCCTGTCCTGGCCCTACACTCTGCTGCGGCGTTATGGCCGCGACAAGGTGTGTGGGCTGTGAGGGAGGCGTTATGGCCGCTCCACAGTTGTGGGCGAGGAGGGGAGCTTTGCTCTGTGGGACCCCCTACTATCCACCCAGTGACTGGTTCCCTGCTGTGGGCAGGACAGGATGGTGGGAAGGGGCCCTGTGCTCTGTGAGCCCCTTCTGTCCACTCTGTGACCGGTTCCCCCCTGTGGACAGGACAGGATGGTGGGGAGAGTCCTCTGCTCTGTGACCCCCTTCTGCCCACCCTGTGACTGGTTCCCAGCTGTGGACAGGACGATGGGGAGGGGCCCCATGCTCTGTGGGACTCACCCTCTCCTGGCTAGCTCGGCTGGGCACTCACCTCTGATGCTCGCTCCCACCCTGCACAGGTCATGTTCTCCTTTGAGGCTGGCCGCCGCTGCCCTTCTGGCCCCGGGACCTTCACCTTCCAGACTATGCAGGGCAATGACATCTTCCAGGCCGTGGAGGCTGCCATCCACGAGCAGAAGGCTCAGGCCAAGGCTGGCCAGGGCCCCGAGCTCCTGAGAACAGACTCCCGGGATGGAGAGGCGGCCGAGGGCAAGCCGGCATCCCCTCGCGGCCCCCCGAAGCTCCTGGGTGGACTCCCGGTCCTGTATGCAGAACCACTGGACTCCCTGCGTGTTCCTCAGGCCCCTGACCAGGACTGCCTGTACTCAGACCCCTTGGACAGCACCGCTGCCCAGGCGGGGGACGGCTCTCAGGTGAAGAAGCCATGTCTCTACTGGGACCTGTATGGCCACGTGCAGCAGCAGCTGCTGAAGACCAGTCTGGAAGACCCCAAGGAGGACCCCATCTACGATGAGCCCGAGGGCCTGGCCCCGGCCCCTGCGCGCAGCCTCTATGACCTGCCCCAGGAGCCTCGGGACGCATGGTGGTGCCAGGCACGGCTGAAGGAGGAGGGTTATGAGCTGCCCTACAACTCCAACACCGATGACTACGCCGTGCCCCCTCCGCGGACCAGACCGCTCTTGGCCCCCAAGCCCCGAGGCCTGGCCTTCCTGGAGCCGGGGGCGGCCATGCGTGGGGGTGGCCACAGCGACACTGTCCTCTATAGTCAGGTGCAGAAGAGTGGGGCAGCGGGGAGCTGGGACGGTGGTCTCCCCAGAGCAGGCGCCAGCAGGACTGGGGTCAAGTCTGAGGGTCCCCTGTGAGAGGAGGGCCACAGAGGAAACTGCTGGAACCAGAGGGGGCCAGGGTGCAGGAGATGCCTGTGTGAAATGAGGGTGTTGGGACATAGAGGAGTCGCGGGAAGGGGCCCAGTCGCACTCGCAAAGCCCTCGGACACGGAAGCAATGGCAGGAACTGAGGGACAGGGTCTCTCATCTCCTAAACCTCCCTCCCTGAGGAATGGCCGCTGGCGTCCAGGTCTGGGAAGGGGTGTGGGATCAGGTGCCGTCTGAGGGGCCAGTGAGGAGGCTTCTGGGAAAAGGCCTGGACCCTCACCCGTGTGCTGCTCTTTGCCAGAGCTATTTAAACTTTTAAAAACTCTCATTAAAGCTGGTTTGGGTCTAAGTGGTCCATGTGTGTGAAGAGACATGGGAAGCAGCCGCAGTGTGTGGCGGGGGTCAGAAGGAGAATCAGGGATGAGCTGGGGGTTATGGAAGGAGGAAGGACCCAGATGAGGGGCGCTTACGGCGACAGAGAGGATGGTCGAGCGGCCAGGCCGGGCTCGTTAGCAGCTGCTGTTTCCAGCCCTGTCTCCCTCACTGCCCTTCTGTAAGATGGACAAAGCACGGGCTCTGGCTGCAGGTAGGCAGCTCTGACGGCCTAGTGGTAAGGAGTTGCTGCCACCCCAGAGGCTCACGGTTCCAATCAACGGCAGTTTCCTCCCAGGCCTCTGAAAACCCACTAGAGGGTCAGCTATGGGCCACTGCCGAATCCATGGTACACACCTCAACGGTTACACGTGTGAACTGCGGTGATTTTCAGAAGGACTCTGATCTGAAGCACAGTGCTTCATGAGGGGAGCTGCTCTGGGGATAAGGGGCCCAGTGGCGCAGGAGGTGTCTAAGGCATATCTGGCTGCTAAGCAAAGAGCCAGCGGTTTGAGCCCACCAGGCGCCCCTGAGACAAGGATGGACAGACTCCTCCCGCCCAGGCTGACAACCTGGGAACCTGCTGGGCCGCGTGGAGTTGGGACTGACCTGGGGGCAGCGCTGACAGGAAGGTGAGCTGGTGTGGAATGAGGGGAAAGGGTGGGCCTTTCCACCTCCTTTCTCCTGACTCTGCACCTCACTTTTCACTCAGGTGGGGTGCATCAGCCACATGTCTGGAAGTTGGGGGGGGAGCTGCCTTGGGGTGGAGGTGCTGGGAGGGGCACAGAGCTTAGCTTTCACTCCTTGTCTTTCTTGAACTCTTAAAACCTCATCCTTGTTTGCTGAGGCCGTGTTTCCCCAGCGGGGCCTGCTCCAGTCACTGCTTACGCTATGATATGGGATCCAGATCCAGGATCTACTGCTGGGGGAGCTGGGGTTGGGAACACTGTTTAACAATGGTGCCGGATTAAGACGTTTAATCTCCACCCCAGTTAACAGTATCAGATGACCCCTGTGAAAACTAGAACTCTCTTTGAGGGGCACGAGGGGCGGGGCTGTGTCTCTTCAAAAGGCCTGAGGAGGGGGTCAGAGGAGGTGAAGGCACAGAGGGAGGTGGACAGACACTAAGGTGGTCTGACTGCAGTCAGCCCCTGGGAAGGACACTGGGCGTGGGCACTGGCAGTTAAGAACCTCAGAGATACGCCTCTTCCTCCTCCTCCTCCTCCTCAGAAGGCAGCACGAAGGCAGCTGAAGACATTCTCTGGGTTTCTGGCATTGTAGGCTCTCTGCTGGGGGCTGTAGTGATAGGCAGGGGGGCCACTGTGGCTCGAACTCGGCTGACCTGTCCAAAGAGCAACCAGAGACTTGTCTGAGACTGCAGTTCCTGATCCTGTTCATTCGTGATGGGCCCCCTGTCCTAACCCAGCCGCCTGTCTTCTTGATCTCTGTTCACTCCCTGTGGGCCTCCTGTCCTCCTAACTCCTGGGCCCCATCCCTTCCAGGTCCCTGTCCACTCCCTGTGGGCCTACTATCCTAACTCCTGGGCCCCATCCCTTAGGCCCGGGACTGGGATGATGGTTCCCTTGGCTGCATCCTCCACAGTTCTGGTCCCTGAGGTACCTCCCTGCCGCTGCCTGCGCACCCTCAGCCTGAGTGCGTCTGGTCCTGGTGGATTTTGCTTCCCCACACCTGGCCCTGATCTCGCCCCAGGCTGCCTGGAGGACTGTGTTGATCTAATTTAAATGAAGACACAATAGGGGTTTGTGTGGAGGCAGTGCTGAGAAACCAGGAGGTCCCTGTAACAGCAAGGGGAAGCCCAGGCATCAGGGCGCATGCTGTGAAGGCAGCCCTGCCCTCTGTCACTCTTGGAGCCTTGTCTGCTGGAGCCCATTCTCAGCACTGCTGCCCTTGGTCAGCCCCGGCCTCAGCAGTGAGAAAGCACTTTGAAGACGCACCTTGCAGGGATGCTGTGGGGGTGAAACGAGAAAAACAGGTGTGAGAGCACCTGTCACCCACAGAGCGGCCAGCTTGGGTGGCCACCCCGTGATTCTCTGTCCCTTAGGGAATTCCTTCTCTTCTTTCAGGAGGGGACAGTGGGTACATTTTCAGCACCGGAGTTCACTGAGTGGGATGTCGTCATTAGGTGACCTCAAGTCGAGTACGACTCACAGTGACCCTCTGAACAGATCTGCACCTGCCCAGCCTGTGCCTCCTCACACTCTCGGACACGCTGCAGCCCACGGCTGCACTGTGTCATTCCACCTGGTTGTCAGTTAAGATATCCAATGTTACATGGTGATACCAAAGCAGGCATCTTACTTGGTAAGATACCAAACAAAATCCCTGACCTCATTTCCACGGGGTGGGACCCTGCGATAGGGTTCCGCGACTGTGAACTGTGCAGGAGGAGTCTGTCCGTTTTTCTCCCGTGGAACCGCTGGTGCCTTCCGCTGTCAGAGAGGCACCCCTTCGTGTTAGCAGTGTGGCTCCCTGCTGCTAGGCCTCCAGAGCTACCTCTTATCTGAGCCGACTGGTAACTTCCTTTGCCCAGGGCACAAGGCATGGGAAGCCCTAGCGGTACAGTGGTTAGGCCCTTGCTAAGCAGCTAAGATTAGAATCCCTATGGGGTGGCTCTGTTCCATCCTCTAGGGTCAGATCAGAGGAGCTGTGGGCTGGCCCTGCTCTGTTCTGTAGGGTCAATGTGCGTTGGAATCAACTCCCCGGCATGAAGCAGCAATAGGCAGAAGGTCACTCCTCATTCTCTGCTGGCTTGATCCTCCCTCCACTGTGGCTAGATCGGGGTGGGAGGGATTTTGGGATGAGTCTTGGGGTTCATTCCTACTAGTGTTTTGTGAGGGGAGCTCTGGTGGCCAAGAGCATAGGGAGTTGTGCTGCTAATCAAAAAGGTCCTGCAGGAGCCATCTGGGAGAAAGAGAGGCAATCTCCTTCTGTACAGTATACAGTCTCTGACGCCCAGTGGACGGGCAGCTGTGAGTTGGTTCGGACTCAATGACAGGAAGAGTGAAAGAGGCCTTTTTCTTGGACTCTGGTAGGAAGCTGGGGGGCCTTGCTCACACTGTAGGGAGGAAGCTGGGGGGTAAGGAGGGACACGTGTGTGGGGGTTACCTTGCTCACACTGTAGGGAGGAAGCTGGGGGGTAAGGAGGGACACGTGTGTGGGGGTTACCTTGCTCACACTGTAGGGAGGAGGGCCACGAGTGTGGGGGGCTACCTTCCTCAGGCTCCGGCTCTCCCAGTGTGTCTGCCCTCGAGGCCGGGTCAGGGTGCTGCTCAAGCGTTCATACAGGTGACCGCACACCCGCAGCGGGTTGTAGGTGGCTTCCAGCTCCAAGCTGTCTAGCGCACTCTGGGGAAGAGGGAGGGGCCTCAGCAGGGAAACTGAGGTCACACGCACACAGCCCGTGAGGCTGGAGGAAGTATGCGTGAGTGAGGGCTACAGAAGCCTGTGAGAGGTATAAGCAAGGGACCAAGGAGGAGCAACCCTGAGGAGTTAAGGGCCAGGTGGGGTTTTCAGATGGGGTTCTGAGAGCTGTGGGCACTGGGGAGGTGTCCAGCCCAGGTGGAACGGGCGGGGAGCCCTGCAGTCCCTCACCTGCCTGCCAGGTGAGCCCGACACCACGCGTTCCTGAGCAGGCCGTTTTTCTGGCCACAGTATCCTACGCCAGGAACCATTGGCCCTAAATCGAGACGCTCAGCGAGCCACGGCCACTCGTACCCACCTCTCTCCGAATGCCCGTGGTCGCCAAGCGAGACACACAATCCAGGCTCTGTCCTGCATGCACGTAAGATGCTGTCCAGCAGCCATGTGGCCCAGCTCTCCCTGCCCGGTCCCCCCGCCCCGAGCCAGACAGAGGAAGCAGAGAATCCAGACAGAGGAGACAGGAGGCAGACGGCCTCGGCCTCGAGCTGCTTGCTCCCGTCCTCCCTCCTCTGGGCTGTCTTGTCTCCTTCCCAGCGGGACCTGGGGCAGCAGAGGAACATCACAGAGGCATGCAGATGCCCAGAGACAAGAACTCATACACACACTCATGCGTCCTTGTTCTCCCCTGACTCTCTGGGGAGCTCTGGTGGCTTAGGTGTCAGAGGTGGTGCTGCCAACACAATGGCACACGAGTCTCTGCCCGTGCAGTTTATAGCCTCTGTGATCCCACTGGAAGGGCCACTGTGAGTGCGTTCTGGCTCAACAGGACATAACTGCTCCTTATTCATTCTTTCCTTCCTCTGCGTTCTACGGAGTGGTCACCTTTCCCCATTTCCCTAATGCACTCGTCTCTCCCCTAACCTCACAGTCTCCTTTCCATCCGGAGATTGTGGATGGCGGTGGGAGCAGAAAGGAGCCTGGCTGGGGTTGCCTGGGCTAGGAACCTCCACCCCAACTCGCTCTGTAAACCCCCACCTCTGCCCGCTCAGCCACCCCCCTCACCCTCCCTCCCCCCTCCGCCCGCCCCCCCCCCCGCGCTCTCTCTGCCCTCCTCTGCTCGCCTGTCGACCTCTGCTCACCTGTCCTCCCCCGGCCTCCCGTGCAGCTATGCTCTCCTGTTCCTTTGGATCCACGAGCCCTCTTTCTTCCTCTGACCCTCGTGGCACCCTGGTTCCCACATCTCCTGTGTTCCCCCATCCAGCCCCTCTGGGGCCCTGCCCTACCCACATTCTCTCTGGCTCCATTCTCTTCTTGCCCCAGGCTCTGTGAGGTCTGGGCCCCACTTGCCTCCACAGCCCCAAGGCTGTCATCAGGCGTGTCCTGGAGAAGTGGCGGGAAGGAGTTGGGCAGCATCAGCTCCCGCGTGGCCATTGCCTTGACCAGCAGAGTGAGGGAGGGCGATGGCATGATGACGTAGAAGGTGCTGGAAGAGACTGTCTGGCTGGATCCTGGACTTGGGGACTCCCCTCTGGCCAAGAGCAGCCACTCTCTCTTCTGAAACAAGGACACACAGAGCGGGTCACCTTCAGTCCCTGTGGAGGATGATCCCAGTTGGGGCTGCTGAGTTCCTCTGGGGACCGAGCGGGCTGAGCTGGGCCTGAGACGGGCTCCCTGTGGGACTTGCTCCCGGTGGGACTGGCCAGCACCCTGTGGCTCCACTCTTGCTCCCTGTGTGGTACTGTGGCAGAGAGAACGCCTCCACTCAGCTAACAGCAGTGAAAAGGGAGGGCATCCACAGGGAGACACGAGCCACTCCTGAACCTGAAGAAGGTGCCGGCGCTTCAAGGTTACAGATGAAACTGCGATGTGTATCTGGATGCTGTGCAGACTCAGGCCCTGTCCAGGGTGAAAGCGTGTGGCTGCATTGCCAACAACTGGGGTTAGAGTGGCTGACTGGGAGACTTCTCTGGAATGCCCAGGACAGGTGTGAGAAGGGCCTAAAAGGTCCTGGGGGGGCCAGAGGAGGGGAGGCTTGGAGGGGGAGGCTTTGGTTTAATGAGGGGGCAGGTCGGGCCCAAGACCAGGAGAAGGGAGCACCTGAATGGGCTTCCCATGAAGGGTGCCCTGGCCGGAAGGTGGCCCCTTGCTGTGGGCCATGGGCACCCACGGAGGCCAGGAGCAAGAGAAGGAGAGAACAAGCCTTGACTTCAAGCTGGTTTTTCTAGGCACACCCTTTGAAGACAGCATGAAAATGAGGCAATTTTCTGTGGCAGTTTTTCAGGGAAAACCACAGAACTTCAGGAAATGAGAAGTTAGAGCATTTAGCGTCACCTGAAACCCTGACCTTCTGGGTGGGATGAGCGGCACCAGGGCCATCTGGTGTGAACTGCACTTCTCCCCGCTGGACGCACCAGACCAGAGAGAATTCTCAGATCAATTGCAACCCTAGAGTAACAATATAGCTACAAAATTGCTTAAATGTGTTATTATAAAAATCAGATTATAAAAACACTAACAACCGAGTTTGTTTGTTTTTTTTAACAACCAAGTTTTAAAATCCTTCTATATTGAATCACATTTGTTGTTGCTATTGTGCATTGTTGAGTTGGAACTGACCCATCCCTGACCCTCTAGTGGGTTTTTAGAGGCTGTAAACCGCATGGGAGGAGACTGGTCATCTTTCTCCTGCAGAGCAGCTGGTGGATTTGAACTTCCTGCCTTTGGGTTGGCAGAATAACTCCTTACCACTAGGCAACCAGTGCTCCCTTTACTGTGATTATTTTTAAGAATGGGCAATCTCCTTCTGTACAATGAAGCTGCCTCTGAAAACCCACTGGCGGTTCAGCTATGGGTCGGCTCCGACTCGACAGTACACAACAACAACAACAATTATTTATTTTTATAAATGATAAATTTATTGTTAGAAATTATTATTACTGTAACTAGTCACACTATTATTTCTACTTTTCCTTTACTTACTGCTTCCTTATCCGCAGAGTTTTTCATCAAAGTGCACCAGTGCAAATGACTACTGAAAGAGCAGAAGACGTGGCAGAAATCAGTGAGGACAGAAGCACCGCCAGCCAGCATACAGCTCAGGCTGGTCCTGCGTGTGGCCGAAAGCTGGTGCTCTGAGGTGCCGTTGTGATTAAACAGTGACCACAGCTCTGATGGGAACACACTGGAAAGCACGTGAGCATAGCGTTTCAGCCCTGCAGGTACGTAGAGACATGTTCGCTGGGCTCAGTGAGACATTCTTCGTGTTATGCCTAACGTCAGGAGTTTCTGCACACAAAGGGCCCACTTCTGCTGTAACACTCACAGCATTTCATAAACAGTGCCTCTGGTGTCCTCCTTTCTGATAGGGTCCCTGGTGAGCAGGCACCCCACGCTTCCTTGATCCCACTGCTCAGTGCGGTAGGGAAACGGCATGTCTTCTCCCTTGCGGGATGGCCAGAGTCCTCGAAGGCTGCCCACAGAAATGGTGACATCCAGGACGCCAATCGCTGATTTAGAGGTAACAGCCAAGGTTATGTTGGCAGGCAGGTGACAGAAATGGAATGAGGTCCCTCAGAGGTCAGTGCTGATGGGGGACTGTCCTTCATCAGTGATGGGACACCGATTTGCAAAATACCAACCAATCAAATCCAACATCACCATATAACAAGGATTACAGCTGATGGTAAAGCTTGGCCCTGAAAATGTAAGTTTGGTATTGCATCAAACCAACCAATGCAATATAGGATACTGACAGAATACAGGATAAAAACGACCTCATCATCCCAGTAGACAGAGAAGACCAAATTAATCCTACATGCTTTTTTGACAACAAAATTAGGCATAGAAGGGAACTTTCTCAACCTGATACAGACCTCTACAGGAATCCCTCAGCTAATAGAAATCATGGAGAGAGACTGGGATTTTCCCCCTTAAGATCAAAGACAAGATAAGGATGGATGTTCTCAGCACTTCATCCAATATTGTACTAGATATTCTAGCCAGGGCAATAAGGCAGGAAAAAGGAACAGAAGGAATCTAAATTGGAAAAGATGAGAGAAAACCATCTCTTACAAGAAAACAATAAAGAATCCACACATAAGCATTGTTGTTGTTGTGTGGTGCCCTCAAGTCCATGTGGACTTGTAGTGACCCTGGCACAACAAACCCTTGCCCCATCCTGAGCCATTCTCACAATCTTGTCTCTGTCGAAGCCTCTTGTTATGGTCACTGGTCAACCAATGTTGTTGAAGGTCTCACTTTTCCTTCACTGATCCTGGACTTTCCAAAGCTTCGTCTCCGTTTCTGAGGAAATGACCCCACTTGACAACATGCCCATAGTATGTGAGATGATGTCCCCATCCTTGTCTGGAAGGAGGACTCTGGCTACACTTCGTCCTTGACTTCTGGCTGTCCATTCCACAGTCTGCCAACAACATAATTCAAAGGCATCGATTCTTCTTCAGCCTTTCGTGTTCAAGGCTCCATTTTCACATACAAATTAAAATATCCTGCCTTGGAAAAGTCATGCCTTAGTCTTTAAACTGTCATCTTTGCTCTTTAGCACTTTAAAAAGGTCCTTGACAGGTTATTTGCCCAATGTAATACATCTTTTGATTTCCTGACTGCCGGTACCGATGGTGTTGACTGTGGATCAAAGTCAAATGAAAGCCTTGACCACATCGATCTTTTCTCCGTCTGTCACGATGTTGCAGTTAGTCCCTTTCTTACTATACACTGTTATGTCTGTATAACCACTGAGAGCACCAACTCCTGGAAGCCTCCTACCCTTTCCCAAAGCTTGTGTTGAAGAGTCTGTCGTATAGATGGATGGTGGTGGATGGAAGATGTGAGAACGGCTCACCCTGGGAGGATGAGGGGCTGATTCAAAACTGAGGAGAGAATGGTGGCGCTGGTGGTTTCCTGGAGGGCTGACCCCCTTGCATAGAGCACCCTGAGTGGGAGAATAATAGTATGGGTGGCCGCAGGGGCGTGGGTCCCTCCCCGCAGTTTGGGCCTCTTCCTGTGAAATGGACATGCTGACTCAGACAACAAGCATATCAGTGGAAACTGAAGTGCACTGAAGGTCAGAGGGCTGCTTTCTGCATTTTCTGGACTGTTGGCCAACTAGAATTCGCGCGTGTGTGTCGTGCACACACGTGAGAAAATATCCTATTTCTAATTAGCCCGCTGGACTCAGTTTAGATGATCTCAATTTTGTTGGCAGCATCCAAAGCATCCTGGTCAGGAGCAAGTGGAACACAGGCCTTCTCTCTCCTTCAGATCTGATCGAGGTGTTGACCTCGGCCACATCAATGTCACAGAACATCTTCGAGCTTGTTTGATCTGGTGCTTGTTGGCCTTGACATTGACAATGAACACAAGTGTGTTGTTATCTTCTATCTTCTTCACGGCTGACTCAGTGGCCAGGGGAAGCTTGATGATGGCATAGAGCTCGAGCTTGTTTCTCCTGGGGCTGCTCTTCTGGGGGTATTTAGGCTGCTTTTGAGGTCTCAGCATCTTAGGCCACCGGAAGGTGGGTGACGTGCGGATCTTCTCTCTTTTGTGGCTGTGGATGCCCTTCAGGACGGCCATGAGGGCCTTTGATGCCTTTGCTTTGGCTTCAGTTTGGGGAGAGTCAGAGGCTTCATTCTTCATTTTCAGCTCCTTCTTTGTAGAAAGGTCAACTAGAATTCTGAGCATGGTCCTAGGGAGGGACAGAGGTGCTCATAATGACACCGAACATATCAACATCTTGGGACCTGGGGACTAATACTTCCTGAAAAAAATGTGATTTAGGAAGATACAGCAACATGACATTTCTCACATTACAGAGCTGTGGTGAAAATTCATACTGCTGAGCGGTGCTCTGAAAGTCAGGACCAATGTGCGAGGTGCGGACGAGGAAGAAAAGGAGATGGGGGCAGACTCCAGGGAAAGGGGCTGGGAGAGCTCCATGGTGAAGATGTTTCAGCAGAAAATGGGGGGAATGAGTAGGTATTTGTCCAGGGGACAGAGGAAGTGGGCCAGGAATGACAAGACAAAAGCTATAGCAGTGTAAAAGATTAGTGAACCTGGGGATGTCTGGTCATTTATTACTGTGGCTGGAGTGGAAGGGGGATGGCCCCAGAAGAACACAGCAGGCTGAGTCCCGGCAAGCCCACTGGCCTGGGGCTGGCCTGTGGGTCTAGAATCTGTCTCCACTGTAGATTATTTACTTGTATTTTTCTCTCTGTCTCTCTACTTTCTTTTTTTCCCCTTCCCCTTCCTCTCCCCTTTTCCTTCCTCCCTCCCTCCCTCCCTCCCTCCCTTCCTTCCTCTCTCTGTCTCTTTAATGGTTCCTGACCTGCCTTTACCCCAGTCAGCTTCGGCTCCTGGTTGACTCTGAGCTTGTGTCACGAAGGACTTTCCATGCCCCACCCATTTTTACAGTCGGCCCAGCTCATCGCCTGTACGCTTAGACTCTTGGCTTGAATCTGGTCACTTCTGTGGCCACTCAGAGTAGCCATGGCTTGTAAAGTCCTGGAATGCATCTCCAGAGACTTGACATTTGAAGT